TAGTCTTCCTACCAATATGACCGAGTTGCGAAAACAAGGTCAAACAACTTTTATACAACGAAAGGAGACTACAACCACACTAAAGGCCACACCATCTTGGTCTTCATACCTTGATTTGGTTTGTTATTTAAAAAATCCTATATAGATCGCTCGTATAACAATGATAGAATTGTTCGATTTGCAAATAATAATTCAACTTGTCAACTCGGTTTCATGTTGAGATTGTTATGCAGGCTAGTTTCATACTTTCCTATTTCTATACCTGGTCTTGCAGATCACTTGCTAGTTTGCCCCGAACTGCATATCTATACAAAAATCCCATCATATCGACACTACATAGAGAAACCTACGTACATATGATTAAAGAGCCGCAATTGTATTGCTGCCAAGCATACCAATATTCTTAATATTCAGTGAATTTATTTCAATTTTCGGATAAACTGCCCAGGAAACTAGTTAATTATGTTTTAATAATATTTTCTCAAAATCTGAGAATAAATGTCAAAAAGGCTCTCAGATAAGCAATGCAGATTACGCTTATTTACATGATTTATTCGGCATACTGGGTGTTGTGATCATTGCCTCATGCATGACTTGATTTTTTAGCTAAATTATTTGAGCTAAATCTGTCTAGACTTATCTAGCATATTCTAAGAAGCTGAATTCATATGTCGAACTGTTAATAAATTTTTAAATAAATACGATTATCTTCTAATCTTATATTTTTACGATCAATTTTAGTTTTGTACTGGATCAAACCTATTACTTTATCCCTTTCTGAACTAGTTTCTCGTTTTATTGTATACTCCCCACATCTCTATCTTTTAACAATCTCTGGTGTCCGGTGTAAGTAATGTACTGGACTAATTCCGATTTTGGGCCCACCAATATTTGCAGACTATTTTATGTTTAAATAATCTCCTATGGGTCGACAGATTCTCCATATGAATGCTACTACATGGACACGAAATCTCCCTTCCGATCTTGAGTAAGGGCTCGAATATCCTGTGGAAAATTTTAGTTTTTCCTTATGCCTTGTTATATTACATTCTCTCAGCAATCTCGTTTTCGCAACTTGGTCGTGATGTCAGAGCGACCTATTGGGACGTATCTTGTCCTAAGTCCTCTTCTACAGAAGTTATAATAATTCCCACCGTTGGACCATGGACTTGATACATCCCCAGACTTTTCGCCTTCATTGTCAGTAAGTGTTGCCATTCTTTACACCAAGCTATAACTCGTAAAATTGACAAATGAAGTCGATACCTTGACTACATTTCTGCCGAACTATTGTTTTATTTCTCCTATTTCCTACTCTATTTTACTCTCGACGTACCACAACTTGTTTATATTCGATTTCTTTATAGATGTTTCCCATTTGGCGAATTTAGTGAGGCGCTTGTTTGCCTTGCGCCTCCTCCCTCTCGATTTGCCCACATTGCTGATACCACTCGGATCTACCCGAATCTCTTCCATGGCCTCTGAGATTCGTTTATTGTTACTTATTGATAGATCTCATTTGGTTCCACTCACAGTATGCGTTTTACTCAAGGCGCTATTTCTCATGGCCTGCGACAAGTCTGGTGGCACGTATACTCTCGCCTCATCAAGTGAGATCCATCAACAAGTAAGGCCATGAGGGAGATTCGTATTTGTGGTCCGAGTCGGATCAAATTCTGGCAAATCGAGAACGAGGGCAAGGTTGACAAGCAAATGTGACACTGCTAAACTCCAAAAAGGACACATAAATCGAATATAAACAGGTAAGAAGTTAGGTTAAGGCGGGATTGAAATAGGAGAGGGGGAACTAGATAGATTTGCCTGGACAAGAGGGGGAAAACAACAATTCGGCAGAAATTTGTCAAGGCATCGACTTCGTTTGCTTGATGGTAAGATTTGCAAGGCTCAAGCAATATTTGTTGAGTCACAAGATGAATATTTAAGGATACGCTATAGATTTCGGGCTAGAATAAAACGTATACTATAAATTGAATTAGACAACCAGATATAAGAAACTAGTCTAGGGGCCGTGAGGGAGATTCAGATATGAACCCTAATCGGGTCAGCAAATCGAAAAGATCAAGATAAATAGCAGATATGATAGCGTCGCACTAACTCGCAAAAATTTAAATCTATTAAATATTCCTAGAATGAACAGGTCAGAAATTGTGATATGGCGGGTCAGATAACAAGATAGATGTTAGGTGGTGGTGTTTCAGGACAGAGTACGGAGTGGTAGTACAACCGTTCGACAGAAAGTTGGCCTTTTGCCACTGACTATTTGTGGCATGGTGCTAAGAACAGCAAGACTGACAATTCAGGCGAAACGTCTGGGAATTTACCAAGTTCACGGTTCAACACTGGGAATCATGTTAAATAGTATATCAGAGGACTTCGTATATGATGTGTCCAACTAGGTCCCTTGATAAAAGAAACAAGTCACGAAAATGAGGAGACCAAAACAGAGGCCGCAGCTTCTTTGTCTTCATATCTTCTATCAAAATAAAAGTTTGCTAAATTGATGATTCCACTACTTTATGTGATATGGTAGACGCCTGGTTTCCTTGAAAGCCGTACTTGCCCTCGTGGCAGCGTGGCTCAGTGGTAGCATGTTGAATGTAGATCCTGAACTACCTGAATTCGATTTCTGTTGCGGCTGCTAATGATACTTTCTTTTTGGAGACAATAATTATTAAATAGAGGTTGTTTGATCTTGTTTTTGCAACTTTCGTATTGTCCTGGAGACCGAGAGAAACGCACTTTCCCCGGAGTTCTTAGTATCCATGAGAATTTCCAGAGACAGATTGTGACATTAGATAACTACCGCTCTTAATCAACCTTTCTCTATAGTCTGAAAACTTTCTTTTTTTAATATAAGCATCAATTTATTTCTATCAAGCCAACTATCTCTTCGGCATTTGTGATGTATCTTCCATTGTATTATTTTTTAATCATAAAAAAAATTGAATTTATTTATCACTGTTTATGGAATGCATGCCACAATTCATTTTTAAGAGTTATTTTCTCCTCACCTATCAGTAGCCCTGTCTTTTTGTTTCCTAACGATAATTCATCCCCAAAAACATTTGTGGCCTTGATTACATACTCTTTTTTGCTTGTCTAATGTATGTTCATGTCCCTCATAACTTTCTAGTTTTTTGGTGTTTTTTCTTACTTGCTAATCAGGTTTGGGTGGCAACAATGGCAGCTCTAGCGGCGGTGGGGCTTCTGGATGGGCGCAGGATAGCACCTCGAAACCGACAGGTGAAAGTGGCGGTGGCAATACTGGGAATGGAGGTGGCAGTGGTAGTGGCAGTATCAGCTATGATGGTCGTAGCCGAGGTGGTGTTAACGAATGTCTAGTTGAGCCTCATCTTGGTGAGACATCTTCCAATGTTGAACATATGGCTCCTGGAATTCCAGCCCTTATGTCAATCAAAACACGTCCACCAGGCTCCTCAGCCGGTAATGCATGTAGCATTGGAAACAATAACGGTAGCATAGCCTCTGGTCATTTCTGTCCTAGCTATGCTTTTTATTCAGCTGCTTTACCTTCCTCACAAGCGTCTATGCCCCGCAACTCTCCGCATCATCATAGTCATCTTCACCATCAACATCAACAGCCACGTTTTAGCATGGACTCAACACTTTCAAGTGACACTTACAGCAGACGCAGAGAGACAACTGAGAGTAGACCTCGACGAGGGGGTTGTCCTTCAGCTTCGGTTACACTCGAGTACTCTGGGAGTCGGCAGCGTCGCTTCTCTGGTCATATGCGTCACATAGATGTTTCTCAGACCGAGCTAGGCCGTCCATTTGTCGAGACAAGGAAGAGCAAGTTGGCTATCTCGTCATCACGAAGCGATGCCAATGTTTGTGACAGTAACGTTCTAGTCGATATAGCGATCTCCAGAGATGATTCACCCTCTTTAGTGATCCAGAAAACAACCGATAGTATTACTACAAAGTCAGGCCGTCGCAGACCAGCTAAACGGAGGCAACTGGCTCCAGAACAGCAAAATCAAACCTACCATATTGGCCCAAAACATAACAAAAGTCAATTACGTGAGTCTCACGGACAGCGGCAGCAGAGTGATTCCATTGGTAGTAATCGAATTCTGGATCAACGATACATTGCCACAGACGCATCAGTTCAGCGCCCAGAAGGTGCCTCTTTGTCTAAGGAAACGAGGTCGATTCCTGTATCAGGTGATATAAGTTTAGTTAATCAGCACCAAAAAGCACTCCCGTGCTCTTCATTGTCTTCTAAACCTCATAAGGCTGATTTACTAAACACAAACCACTCATCTCTGATCCAGATACAAGTAGCCTGCTCAAATAGCCTGGCCGTATCCTCAGCTAAACCAATTCTCAATGTCTGGGCGGAGAGGTCAGATAAGCAGGCAGAAGACAACTCAAATGCCCGTAACTTGTTTTTTCAAGAGTGTTCATTAAAGTTCAAATATATTATCTATTTTATGTAGCTTTTGATATTAAATGATTTTTTAGGTTTTTCATTATTTAGTCCAAGTCATGCTGCTTTCCTGATTTAGATGGATGCCTAAATCTGTGGCATGGACTCAGCGCTTTTAAGTAGCACAGCGGACGCAGAGATTATTTTTATCATAAGGGCTTTTTAGTGTTTGTTTGACCTTGTTTTCGCAACTGTGTTGGAGCGTCAGGGAGACCTCGAGGAACGTATCTAGTCCCGTGTCCTCTTGCATGGTATTCGTGATTTCCAGCATTGTACCATTGGCTGAGTACGTTTCCTTTCGTTTCACCGATATCGTCAGTGAGAAGTTCACAGAGTTACAACTTATCAAAGTGGTAAGTGAAATTAATTAGCCATCCCTTTGACCAATTTTCTGTTCGACCGTTGTGCCATCGTTCCTCGCACCTATTCTTTATTCTACCTTCTAATGCCGCATCTTTTTCTCAACCCTACTTCATATGGCCTATCTACTTATTCACAAAATTCAGTTTTCTCTAATTTCGCTTCAAGTGAGTCCTGAAGCGTAATCACCTTTATCACCGGTACCAGCTGGCTTTCGCACTGCTCCTGATCTTCATTAAGCATCCATTTTCTCCTACCCTATTGTCATTTGGTCACCGCTAAATACCAAAATCACTGGCTGCCTGAGAGCTTCGATTGCCGTCTACAATTACACCATATTCGATTATTAGAGCAGATGATGCCCATGTCCATGCTCATACTAGTGCCTGGGAACCTTCACCTTCCTATTCTTAAGACCCATGACTCAATTATCCTCTTTCTCACCCCCACCCACAGTGTCTCATTCTTTGGGGCCATGTGTCTGGCTTAAGTCAACCGTTGGTTTGAAACTGCACCGCTTCCTTTTTTTCTATGAATCACGAAAAGCACACCTCTACTTCGAAGTTGGAACTTCTATCTAATCCTAAGGTGGTAGGATATTCAGATGTGTGTTGGCTGTTATCCCTCCTGGTCAAGCCTGTTACCAGTGGCCTTTCAGACAGACACGAAACATGCACACACACACACTAGTGACATATATCTGGCCTACTTATAGCTTTAGTCCTTTAATTTCCTATCCTAAATCCCATAGGTGGACACCCGCGGTAAATTTTTGGCGGATTCCACGATTGAATTATCTCAATGCAATCGCCTTTTCTTTATTTCTCTTTGTCTTTCATAAGCCTCTCCTTGGCGATGTCTTTTCCTTTTGTTGAACAGTTGTCATGGTTACAAACGTCTTCTTTTTGATTTTTTGCTGAATCTCCAAATCTGTACAGACAACACAGGAAATTATCGCTGAATCTTCCTTCTTCCAATCTCTGCATCAGGTTTGTTTGAAAGAGGATGTCTACGGTCTCTGAACTTTATTTTCTGCTGTTTTCTCCATATGAGGCCTGCCTCTCTGTTGCACTCCAATCATGTGTGTCGCCAGGAAGGGCAATATCTGTCTTCGATCTTGCCGTATCTATTTTTCTCAGTAGTCATTTGTGTTCCTTATGCTGATTGTACTTCCCATCTCTTTTAAAGTCCTTTAGCCCTTGTTGTGAACTCCTGAACACTTCATTTTGTTGATTTCTTCATGTTGGTTAGGCAAGTGGTGAAGAGAATTGTTCTTTTTTTGAGGATTGTAAAAATTTTGCATTTATGTAATATCGGCCACTGCTTTCAAGCCAATTCCCTATTCCTTTTGCTTTCCTTTAATAATCTCCCTCCTATCTGTTCATCACCATCCGTATGTTGCATTGTATCGCTTCTTCTTTATAACTCTTTTTGAGAAGCACCTGAGTTAATTCTTTTCAGTTCCTCTTCCCACAACTCACTCATTGAGTCGTAGTCTCCTTATGAACATGCTCCGGTTTCTTCCAATCTTCTCTTACTAAGTATGGTTAGAATGGAGTTAATAGTTATTCCAGGGTGCGATTTCTTTAGGAAAAATTGTTTCTTGAGAGTTTTCTCGGAGCGTATGACCTCCATATCTAAGAAAGGTAAGTGTCCATTCTCTTCCACATCCATGGGAAACTTGACTTACATCCATATCCTTCGTGAAGCTCAAGAAATCGTATAATTTTTTTCCTTGCGTCCTTGCGAAGTAGTCATCCAATTATCGCATAATTTCTGTTGGCAGCCAAGGTAACGTTTTGAAATTCTTCAACTCGTCCATGTAGACATTAGCCAATATAAGTTGTTTGACCTTGTTTTCGCAACTTCCTCATACTGGTTGGAAGACTTAGAGGAACACACCTAGTCCAAAGTCGGACCGTAAATGTGGTACATTCTCAGATGTTTCTTCGACATCGCAGTCGGCATCGTCAGTGAGTCTTGCCATTCTTAGAACAATACTACAACTCGTCAAAAGAGACAAGTGAAGCCGATCCTATGACCAAATGTGTGCTAAACAGTTGTATCTCTCCTGTCATGGGCTATTCGCCTACTCCATATCCTCCTATCACCTATCAATATCACTTTCTTTTTCTTGCTTACTTAAATGTGTAATGTGCTCTACATAAAAACCCTCCATACTCCACACTGTCGTTCTCACCCTCTTTCACCCTTGTGCTGGGAATGTTGATCAGTCTGCCATATTGTTATGTGCTGGAAATGTTGACCAGTCTGTCATATTGTTAGTCAGTCATCCTTTCGTATGACTGACTTCGTTTTCAATTTGTGGATTTCCCTGTTCCTATTAATTTCTGTGTATTTCTTGCAGTACCCCTTTGATTTTGACCTTTTGGCCCTTTGCTATTAGTCGATAAGTTGTATTTTTCCCGAAAATATTTTCCATTTTCTCTGTATATTCCTTCCTGTCCATCGTCAGTGTGGCACCTCCTTTGTCAGCTTGTAGGACTATTTGATCCTTTCTCAATTATCTACATATTTTGGTTATGTTGTCCATATCCGTAGGTTTTTGATGCGCTTAGTTTGTCAGGATGATTTCTATTTGCAGCTCTTCAGGCAGCTGAAGTTAATATATTAAAAATTTCAATAATTTTTGCCTCATGTTTCCTCTAATTTTTGCAAAGAAGCTTGATATAACATGGCATTGACTTTATCGGAATGAAATTTTTTCATCAAATTGCAAAAAGCTATCGGGAATGCCATAAAGTTTACCATTTACGATTGTTGATTAAGGGGATTGCCTTCATTTGTCACTATGCTGATGATGACATATCTCGTTGACGACGCCGGCTAAACGTTTGGGAATGTATCAAGTCGATGGTCCGCTGCCAAAAATCATGAATGCAATGACAGAGAATCCAGGACTTGGTATGTTCCACTAGGTCTCCTTAACTCTCGTATCAAGCTGCGGAAACAAGGTCAAACCAACACTATAAATTGAAGATGTGAAGACCAAGATGTTGTGGCCTCGGGTATGGTCGCAGTCTCCTTTCGAAGTGGGTTGACCTCGTTGTCGCAACTTGGTCTTGTGTTCAGGGAGACTATGTAGACAAATTGGACTGTTCAGGAGTTTAGTGTATATCAC